CAGAGCAAACAACAAACCATCTAAATTAAACTTTTTTTTTTACTGTGCAATTTTATGTCTGTATATTTGGTAGTTTGGTGCATAGTTTTCGAGTCCCAGCCGCTTGGCTTGCATATTGAATGGAGGCTTTTGCTCTTGTTTTGAGACCGACTCCAAGCGATTGTCCTGCAAGTGAGTTTTGGGGTCAGGGGTCAGGCGTGTGCGTGATTAAAAATTCAATACCGAAACGAATGTAGAATTGAACGGTAAATTAAATGAGTCGAAGGGGGAAGGGTTTAAAAACGGGGGCAAGTAAGACCCTAGAAGGGAAATTGAAATGAAACAAAAAATTATTTCAAGCAAAAGGGGAGGAATATTGAACGATTCATTACTAAAACTGTTAATACAAAAGCTATATTAATTTTAATTAAAAAAAATTACTAAATATATTTACTTAATGCATTCTCCGATTAAACGAAAAGCATTCTAAATAGTATTGATAAATAGTAAAAAAAAGTTAATATCAAACATAACATTTTACTTTCCAGATATTATTTTATATTATTATAATAAAATCACAATTTTATTGTCGCTGGCCAAAGCCTTAGCGTTGGCCCCTATTAGGAGTTCTAAATAAAAAGAGGGCAAATTCGAATAAAGACCCGTGACTAGAATCCTTGGTCTTCTTGAGCCTTCAAAGGGGTTCGAAGTGCTGGTGGTGGGCTATGTGGGCCACAAGGGCTGAGGAGACAGGTTCTTATCGTAATGCCCACCTTGGCAGTGCCATCAGTCTGCTCCGGCGAGGAATGTTTACATAAATTCATAAAATTATTGCCATAATCAACATTATGCATTTGGAAACAAACAAAAAACAAAAAACCAGAAACCGCAAAAGAGTTTTCCACCCACGGGGGTGGAAAGTGTACTGTGTTGGGATATGCAGCTTCAGCTTTAGCTTCAGCTTCAGCTTCTCGTAATTATGCTCGCTTGATTTGCCAGCAACATTTTCTTTTTAATTATTTATATTTGGGGATTTTAGGTAGTAGGCAGTAGGCAGTCAGGCAAAACGATTCAAAGGCCTTCCAAGTTTTCCCCTTTCTCTCGTATGTTAGGGATGGTATTTGCATACATCAGATTGCCTGACTGACTGACTGACTGAATAACTGACAATATCTTTTTATGCTTTGGCAGCCAGCCACCCCTCCGCTTACACCCTGCACCATACATTGGCTCGCTTTTTTGGGCATGTGTTTTATTAGGCATGTTAATTAAAAGACATGAAATGAAAATAATTAAAAATATGTATAAAAAAAAACACACACACACATACGCAGTTGTTCGCATCTGCATACGTGCGATATTTGTAAGTGTGCTTTATGTACAGCCCACACGCAGATGCATAAGCACTTTTATGAAGAGAACAGTATCTATGGGCACACAAGATATGGCTGTCGAACAGGTTCCATTACTTTATGAACCAGATTGCCATTGAAAGTGTGGATTTGTGAATTCAATTGGGTATGTAGGGCTGGGTTTTATTATTTTAAAAATAATGTGACAAATTTCAACAAAATTATTTAAGAAAATAATAAGAAATATTTTAAGTCTAGGGAACTTTTTAATTCATAGTTCTATATTTTTAATATTCAAAATATATTTTGAGAACAAGGGTTTTCTTTTAGTATCATACCTTTTTTCCCTTCTAAGTTCATATGTGACCATGTGCAAATTACCTTTAACCAGCTAATGAAGGAGCACATTAAGTTAAATGATTTATGAACCGAAAAAAATGTTTGATTTTTTTTAAAGGGTTACAACATAAATAAAATAAAAAGTGAGGGGGAGAGGGAAGCACATCAATTTTCCGGGCCACTTTGCGCCAGATCGCCTTATTAACTCATTGCTGTGGTGTCAATTTACACGACAACGGCACCAAAACAGAACAAAACAAAGGCTAAAATATGGCAACATTACTTGCCACCAACCAACCAATCTCCAGCCACTTTTCGCTCCTTTGTCTTAAATTTCCAAATTTTAGGGGGGCGGGGGGTTGGCGTTGGAAAAAAGCTACCCCAATCCAACGATTCCCAATTGCTGGCGTCTTAAGTGTTGCTAATAACGCCTACAACTAAAAACAGCTGCGGGGTCAAAAATACTGGATGGGTGGTGGTGCCATGGTTGAGCGACACTTTTAAGAAATTGCAAAGTTTTCGTAACAAAGGCAACTTGAACAATACTTTGATGCGATTTTGCGGATATTAGGTGTTAATTTTTCAAAGAGCCAACGACATTGTACTCCCTTTCCTTTGGTGTTTAAAGACCTCCCACGCCTCCCCACCATCACATTTTATTAGCCCCCCTTTATTTTTCGTTGGTGGCCTGGTGGCCTGGTTGCCATTGCCATGGCACTCTGCCTTTTGTAATTTTAACTGCTTTTGGTTAACACTTTTACGCATTGCCAACTGTGGTGGCGCAGCTCCAACTCCTGTTCCTTATTCACACCATCGATATCACATGGCAGCATACCACTCGTAACCCCTTTGTCTTTCTGCCAGCAAGTCATCGATGGGAAAACTTTTGCCAACTTTTTCTCGACCAGCTTTTTTGTGTATTTTAATTGCCCCCAAAGGGGGGATTGAATTTGGTGGGATGGGTGTTTGGTGCTAAAACAAGCGCTGAGTTACTGTTCTGGGTGTAGGGGTATGCCATTTATTGAGCATTTTAGCCTTTCATCGATGCTTTCAGCTAAAATTATTTTGCTCATTTTAATTATTATAACCGCCAAGTACAGCCCAGCAACAACAATGGAACAATGCCATTGTGAGTGGGTGGTGTAGCACCACCTCTTCCCCAAAAACACAAATTTTAACGGTTATGCCACGGCGAAAAAGGGTCCTTTGGCCCCTTCTTGTGGTTGTTGTTGCTGCTGATTGGGGGGCGATCGTTTAGTGGGCGGGGCCATTTTGCGGTGACGTCCCTTAAGACGTCTTCTCAAACTCCAGACGAAAGATAAACTGTCTTGTAGACGAAGTGACGAAAGGAAAAGTACCACTTTAGGCACTAAAATATGCTGGAAATGCAAGACGATGATATTTAAGACTTATTTATGAATTAATCTAAAGAGAAAAACAAAATTTAAAAATAAATGAACAAGGAGGAATGTCAAGGAAAAAGCCCCATGTTGGGCGCCACAGTTCTTAAGCAAGCATGAAAGAGTTCTAACAACTATGTATGAATAAAATTAAAGAAAATAATGTACAAAATAAATATAAAGTAACTCATTCAGATTCGTTTTAGGTCAGAAAGTCAGGCTTTACTGCCTTTCTAGTCAAAACTTTAATTACACAACACACACGAATCACGTTTTCGATCTGGAGCTTTCTGAGGGATCGAAGCAATGTGCATTTGCTTCTATGTTATAATCGCCCTGATTATCCTGCTCGTCATAGTGGTAGCATCGGTGAACTTAACCCGCTAATGGACCAAAATCGGAGGAATGGAGTTCAAGTTCCACTAATCCAACTAGTGGAATAAACAATGTGACCGCCACTTACCCCTTTGGTTTTGAACGTTTTTACTCTGTAACTCTCTTCTTCTTTGGTATTAGATAGCCGGCAAGTTTTTGGTGTTTTATTACTGTAAACATTTGCATACAAGACTGCTCTGCCTCCGCTCCTCGCTGGTTACTATAATTAACTGAATATTTATTACTGCGGTAGATAAAATGTTATGCGGCTATTATTTTAGTTTTACGGCCAACCAAGAAGCCAACAAGCAAGCCTGGCTAACTGAGCTTAAGCCTCAGACGGAACATGAACATGGCAGGCCACCAAAGTGGCGGTTCGTACATGAATATGCAATCCGAGCCAAAATGCAGTCGGCTTCCCCCTCTGGCCACGTGTGCCACGCCACCTGAACCACCTCTCGGCCATCTCTTAGCCACCTCCATGGATAAATCCAGCCGGGATACACCTAAGCCATTGAACAGGCGGCGCCAATTAAGCCAACAAAAGAATCGGCTTAGGGTTTGCAGTGATGATGAACTGTAGACCAGGAAAAAATAGCTAATAAACAAGCCATTTCGGCTTTATAAAGGATGATTGTTATTATATTTCAACCTTTTAAATAGGTAGCCAATTTTTATTGGATGTATCGGATTAATCGTTGTTAATTCAAAATATAACAAATTATCAATTTTAAATAATATCATATTTATATATATGCCATGGCTGTATTATTTATCTGTCTTCAATATTTCAAGATTTATGGATAAGGCCTTGTTAATTCCTAATTTTTTAGTGATAGCTTATTAAAAATTGATTAAGTATTGATAATACTTTGATTCTAAAAATATACATTATGTATAAATATTTGTATGATGCCTGCCCAAACCTTAAGATTAACTGATACTTTAGCTTATGTGTAAGCCTTCTATAGGCGCTAAATAATTGAAGAGACAATAAAAGCTCTGCCATCTCCAAGTTCTCAACACAATTCCTGGTGTAGAATTCTCCTGCGCAAAAGGTGAAACAATCGCTAATTGTTTTAGGACCTTCGCTCCAGATGCGAAGGCAATAAGGTGTGAAATTTCAGACCGGGTTTCGACTGTTCGCTCGCGGCACAAAACTTTTTCACCCAGCCAAGCGCAAATTACGCATACGCCGCGTTGTCTTACCTGAAGTGCGGGAGGTAAGTGGATATAACTCATACGCCACGTAGATGCAGAGTAATTATAATCATTTAATGAAGAGGCCTGTTACCAGAGTTATGAGAGCTTCACTAATACGCAAATCGCGCGCCCATTCACCAGTTGATCTATAATGATTTAATACAGATACTCTGATTGTTTTTCTGGCCACAAATATAATTGACATCTGTCAGACACGAAAACAATTTCCCCAATTTCACACCACGGCTAAAAACTCAATTCGTATTAATTGGAAGTGGATCGCCGTGTTTCGTAATGACAATTCGACACGCTCGGCAGATTTGAACTGGTTAGCTATAAAAGCGGTCAACGAAAATAGAACGAGCAACAGTTAACATCCGAACAACTGGCAAGATGCATCTGAATCTGAACTATTTCATTGGGCTTTTGCTGGTGCTGCTTTGCAGCACATTTGCGGTGAGTTGGAGCCTCAATTTGTTAGTGATTTTGATTGGTGACTAATATTTAACAAATTGTTGTCCCTGCAGATGGCCTATCCTCAGGGTCCTGGCTGTGGGCCACCACCCAGTGGAACTCCTCCTCCGGGACCTCGTCCATCGGGTCCTCCGCCTGGCTGCAGACCTTCAACCACGGCTTCCTCCGGTTAAATAGATTCCGATTTCGATTGCCGTCTTACGATTCCCGACTCCAATCCGCATCACAAGGCTTTCCTGGCTCGACAAATGGCAAAATCCTTTAGCTAAGTCTCCGTTTTTTTTTTTGTTCGTTCGATTCAATAAAATATTTGCGTACAACTATGTAAGAAGTGATTTTTATTTGAGGTTCGGCATGCTGTTCAGAAATATGCGGGGCAAACATTTTACAGATGCCCTTTCAAAGCAAAGAAATTTTATATAAATTCATTTTGTTCTCGGTTACACTTTAAACCAATTACAATAATATAATTATTATATTTAAGTCATTTCGAATGATTTAATTAAAATCAATAACATTGATTTTGTTTTATTTTTATATTTGATTTTATAGACACTCCTTCGGTCAAAGGAAAATTGTTAGTATAAATTACAATATAATTTTGATAAATCAAATGCATATAATTTAAATAGTTAACCTTCTTGTCACACATCTAAGCTATTTATTTTTATTGATCCCTTTTTACGCCGATCAGGCGAGGTGCCGTCATCTTTGAAGACATTATCTCTGCACTCAAAATAGAACGCAAGGGCCACTATCCAAATGTAAATGCCTAAAACTATTGAAGAAAATTAAAAATGTATAATTTTTCTAATTCGTTAGCATTTACATACCAATGCCAAGAACAGACATGCTTATATAGACGATATCTGCATTCCAAATAACAACTTCCGCCACCAAAAAAGCTGGATACAACAGAGAATGCAATAAGCTTGTGGCAAGAAACAAAGATACGAGAACTGATGTTTTCTGGTGAAGCAGACAGGTAAAGTTTAAAGGAAAGAAAGCAATGTAGGCCACAAAAACTCACCACAAACGAGGCCACAAACAGCATCAGGCAGCCCACGAAGTTCACTATTTCCAACACCCTATTGACAACTGCAAGGACTCCTTCGAGGGAATCGCAGCAGGGCTTGGCATTCCTCAGAGGAACGGCCATAAGTTCGAAAAATATCAGTAACAGGGCACTGATCATACAACCCACTCTAAGGGAAATCACCCAGCAGCACTTCCTCAAACGGCATTTCATGGTTTTTCATTTGTTTCGTTGTATATTAGTTGTATTTGTTTTTGTTTGTGACGGCTGAAGCCCAGATTGCTTATAGTTTAAAACTGTTTTTGTTATATTATATAATACAAAAATGGTAGACAATTATAATACTTTATCGGTTGATAAAAAATGATAGAAGTATTTTTCCTAAGCTTACAACTTGATCAAACTCAAGCATTTATGTCATTTATAAGCAGTCATCACAAAATGCTTTATTTTAATTTCAAATACGTAATTTAGAAACAAATGTGTGTTTTAGTTTGCTTATGTTAATGAATTTACAATTCAAATAAAAACAATTACATACTTATTTGAAATTTGTTTGAATTTAGTTAAAGTGTATTCAAATTTGTAGATTTTATAAAAGAATAAAAGTTAGAATGTCATAGTTCTTTTAATACCAACATTTTCGGCTTCTAAATATGTTACCATTTTTTTTTTCGCCACAATTTTTCTCCTCTGCGTCGCAATTTTCCCGTTGGAACTTTCGGTATTCCCCAGTCAATATGCAACTGGCTGATGAGGAATTTCCCTGGCTTTCCACAATCCATTCTCCCATTTTTCGACCCCGCCCGCTCATCTATTTTGCATATTTTCCGAACTTTTGCTAGTTGCTTGTACAATGAGTAAAAGTAGAATTTCGCAGACTTTTCGAGACTGTAAAATATTACACCACCCCAGAAGCACCCGCCAGTCGATATTAAAAAAGATAAAGTTTTATTAGTTGTGCGGTGAAAATGGGCGTCCAATGGGTGGGGGGGCGTAATATGTTCAAGGGGCGAGATATAATAAAAGTAATAAAAGAAAATATGCAACACACACACACAAACACACACACAAGCAAATGAAGATGCAGATGAAGTTGAAATGTAAATTTCGACCGAATGGAAAGTTCCGTTTCAATGATTGCAAACGGAAGCGGAACCACTCTCCCTAGAAAAATCCCACCCACCAATTCCCCTATGGGGAATGAATGGCAAATGAAACGCAAGTAAATACGATAAATAAATGTTTAAATAAATAAGTAAATAAATGTGTGGACAGTCGGCAACAGGAACCGGTCCAAAAAGCCAGCAAAAAGGATCCGAGGGAGCCAAAAAGTCCAAATGTAATAATTAAATTGCATTTTGCGTCTGCGGCCAAACAAAATGGCGGCCAACGTTCGAATAAGTGAGTATGTGTGCGGCCGAAAATGTGCAGATACTAGTGTCAAATGCCTCAACACCCTGTACAAAAAATTTAACAAACTATTATATTAAAATATATATAATAAATAGAAGAGAAATCGAAAGTAACAACCTTGCCCAAAAGCATAGTCATAGGTCAACACAAAAAAACAAGCAAACATTTTACAGAAATAAGATGCAATAAATATCAGTGTTAAATATGGTATATGAAATAGCTAGAAATTTGTAAATGGTTTTATACATACATTTAGATACATCGTTTGTATATCAAAAGTCTATTTAACCTCGAAGTTCCTTTTAAGTGACCAGTATAAATATTTATATGCCTTGGCCACAATCATTGGATCATATAAACACAAACATAAATTTTTTTATTTTTTCAGATTTTTTGTGTGTTCTTATTTCGTTCTCCAGATTCCATTCCTCGTAATTTACAATATTATACTCCTCAGTTTCGCTGATTGTGTGCATCAATTTTTGGTTTTTGGTGTATGGGAAAAGGCTTAAATTTATTTATCATTCAATTAAATATTTAAAATACCAAAAAATGCTTTCACCGCCAGCCAACTTATTTAAATTTCCACGCCCACACACACACACATGCCACACACCTTTAATATTGAAATTGAAATCATAAATAAATGAGAAAATTTGCATTGGTTTGGCGAGCGCGGGTTTTTCCGCAGGAGAGAGGGAAAATGGAGGAAAATTGTGGGCGGTTTGTTTATTTTTGCCGCGTATGCGTAATGTGTGCAAGTGCGATTCGCATTCGCTGTAAATTTTATTGTTATGTGTATATATTTATGCCCTTATATGTTTTTGTTTTTCTCCTGTGTATTTTCACTGCATCGCTGCAATGTTTGTAAAATTAATTGACATTTTATTTGTTAATTAATTGTTATGGCCGCGTATTGTTGTTGTTGTTATTGTTGTTTGGTTGGCCAGGCCAAGAGTTCACAGTTTTTGGCCCGGGCCAAAATGGCCAAATGACCAAATGGCCAAATGGCTTTTCATTATTGTTATTACAAATGCCGCGGTCATTATTATTTGCTCGTTAAGCGCACCTCTGCAGCTCCCCCTTTGTTCAAACGCAATGCATTTGTAATTTAGTTTTGTAGTTTTAATTGCAAAAATTGTTAATATTCTGATAATTTATTTATGCATTTATTTATGTTAAGCCATGGAATACATTTGGATAAATTTGAAACGGTAGCGGAGTTTTTAAGCTTTAAATTTTTAAACATTACTTATCTAATATATTTTGAAGTATAAAAAAGACTGTGACTTCCGTTACATACTACTTCTTTATTTTATTTAATTTTATTTAAAGAAGTAAAATGTTTCCTAATATACAAAAAAGAAAATTAATGAAAAAAAAAGCGTTACCTTAATAACTAAAACATACTGACTAAAACTAAATTCTCACGATTAGTCAGATAAATAATGTTTAGCTTTTTGATTGATAAATAAAAAAAAACTATTTTCTTAGATGTTTTTTTGTTTTTACATTGGCCAAAATAAGGAGCATATACTATACATCCCCGGTCGATTTTATTTATCTGGAGATCGAAACAAAATGTGGTATTTTTGTTGTGATTTTTTTTTTTAAATTGTCCAAAATGAAAAAGATTTGATTTTACAACTTGATCATGACAAAGTATAAAATACATACTCTATACCCACAGCGAGGACCTGTGGATAAGTGAAATATCCTAGGCAGCAATCCCGGACAGCGCGAGCCATCAATTTTTACAACTTTAAATACCAGCAGGAAGTAACTTAGGAATTCAGGATCAGCTCCCCTAGAGCAACATTTCGAATGGCAATAAGAAAAAAGTCATAACAAAATTTTACGACAACTTTGGCGGCGTTTTCATTTCGCTGTTGGTCCGCCAAAAGGAGGCGGATGGAATGGAGCTGGATTTTTGTTTATATATATATATTTTTTTTTTTTGGGTGATACGAGATACGAGATTCGGGATTCGGATGGATGGACTGGATGCAAAATGCAAAACAAAGGGAAAATTACCAGACGACCGAGAAGAAGCGGCATATTCTAATGGCTGCCATCCCGCTGGTTTCCCTTCTTTTCCTTTTCTTCTTTTCTTCTTTTTTTTGACTTGGGAGGAGTGGGGCATATAATAATCATCTATATTCATGGATTAGGATTCAATTTTTATGCCACACGCGAGAAGGTGAAATGGAAAAACCGGCGAGAGAGCAATGAGGGTTAAATTGAAAATAAAGCGTTAGCCAAGAAAAGAGAAGACACAGATATACCGAAAATGGGATGGAGGATGGTGGAGTGGGGGGGGAAATTATTCAAAAATTTATGCAAGAAAATATTACCAAAGAGCTAATAATTTTCCCCAGCCATCGTTCCCGAAAAGGTGGCAAAAGCGCCGCGTGGGGGCCGCCAGGGGGTGGTGGGTGGTTGGTGGGTGGGTGTTGGATGGTTTTTAGCTGGTTTGGGTGGATTGGTGGGTTTTGTATTAATGAATAATATCGCGGCTAAGGCGAAGGCGAAACGCGTTCATCTTTTTCTTTGGTGTTTTTTTTTTTTTTTGTTGTGGCACGCCACAGGGGTTAATAAGTAATCTGCATTTTTTGACATTTATTTATGTCTTCAAATATGTGCGAGGAGTCTTGTCGTTGTTTCTCTTTTTTATCGCGGGGCCAAGGAGCAAGGGAAATCTAACAGCTGTTCAAAGTGTCATTAGAACGAAATATGCCCGCGATGTGGACCCATGCTTAATTTTCTTCTCTGCGGAAAATGGGAATTATTTTATCACCAGATATACATATACTTATCCCTGGCCCTCTTCAATCTTTATTGTTTTCATTTGATTAGCGGGCGATATAGGGC